AACGAGTCTTTGTTTAGAATAACAGGGCATCCAATGATAGCACTTTAATGAGTAAGTGGTTTGTGGCTTTTATAAAAAAAAAATGTTGTTTAGTGTGATGATTCATTACGTTATCATGCCACTTAGGGCCATGTTTCATAGTGGAGGACTTGTATTGAAAGAAGAATAGTCCTTGGTAGAATATTTTAAAGATAAATAGAGAATTTCGTGGAAGATTTTAGAATTTTATGGATTTGCATGGAAGGTTCTTGGAATCTTCTAATTGTGTAGAGAATTTTAGAAGATGATTAATTTGTAAATATGTAGGGATTTGTTGATAATTATTATTTGCATATAAAGTTTTGAGCAGTACAAAAGCTTTCACAAGCAATTCTTCATTGTTCTTTAATTCAAACGGTCCCTTGGCAATCTATTGTTAAAAAAAGCTTGCTTGATCTTATAGATGGTAAAAAAATTGTGAGCGAGTTGTCAAGTGTAGCACGAAGGACTTGATAGAAGTTTAAGTCCGTCAAAGTTTTATGAATCTTCTCGACTCAAATTAACTACCAGGAACTTGTCAAGTAGAACCTTTAACCAAACGTCGTATTCCCAAAAGATTGCTTCTGTTTCCTTTCCTCCCAGCATATTGGTTTATTCTTTTTTTTTAATAGATATATATATATATAGCAAACATAGAGACTGTATAATTCGCTATACATATACAGTTGAAGCAAATTGTATAAAACGAAGTGTATAAAACAAGAAAGAGAAAGACACTTGGACAGAGAACTGTTTAAAAACGAATTGTATTATTATAAGTGTATAGAACGATTATATACAATTTGAATTTGTATAAAATGAGAGAGAGACAGACAAAAGAGATTTGATAAGGAATATACAATTGAATCGAATTGTATAAAACGAGAAAGAGAGAAATTAGATACAATTTGAACATTGTATAAAACGATAAAAGAGAGAAAGACAAAAGAAACTGGGCAGAGGAGTACTTTTATTGCATAATTATAAGTGTATAGGATGAAAATATATGCACTTGCATGTGTATATACAATTTTCTCACGCTTTATACAAACAGAAACGCAATTTATACATTTCGCTTTTGTTTGTATAAGTGAGAAAGACGAGGGCGGCGAGCGAGATTCGGGAGAGTGGCGAGCGAGATCTGAAAGAGGGGAGAGAGGGGAACAAAAATATATGTATTTATACAATTTTCTCTGCTATATACAATTAGAAACAATTTTTATACACTTGTGTTTGTATAAAAAGTGAGAAAGCGAGTGAGAGATTGGAGGAGACTTGAGAGCGAAATATTTGGGAGAGAGGCGCCTGACAATTTTTTTGCAAAAGTTTGCTATGGAGCACAATTAAATTAAACCCTAGCTACTCCATTTATTTTAGATTATTAGTTTGTTATTATATACAATTTTTCCTTTTAAGAAACTCAATTTTTTTACCCCTTGCGAAGAAAAGGGAAATATTCCCAACCAAAAAAGATTCTAGAAAATATGTGTTTGAGGGGTAAGATATTTTAATCGATATGTAAGCATAAATATTAAATAGCGTATCCAAACATAAGATTCATTTCGACACCAAATAAACAGACGATAACTCGAAAGGGGTTACATTTCACCATAAAAGAACCATAATAGATTTCTTAAATTTGAACTCCGAATATTTTCAAAGAAAAATAAAAATTAAATGAGTATCATAGTTAACGATAATAAGTGTTTTTGTTAGAGATTCGGTCCATGTCCCTCTCTGATATGTAACTTTTTTTTTTAGTTTATTGATATTACAGGGATATTCAAGCCTTACCTCAACATCAAAGGAATCACAACCTAAATAATGACTTATTAAATTAAAATTATCACCATCATTCTAGTATATTGTATATTGCGCTAGCTTTAACTGATTTTAAACCTGACATATGCGATATTAGAATAAAAGAGTTGCTGTATATAAAAAGTTGTTTTTTTAATGAAAATATTCTAAAAAGAAAAATAAGGCAAGTAAATTAACATAGAGAAAACAAAAAAGTAGATTTTCTAGAAATCACACAATTTTAATATAAAATTATAATATATCCTTCTTTAGTTTGTAATTATATTAATCTCTTAAAAATAACACAAATCGAATATATATGTAGCTTGGATACATTAAAGAGTATCTCGAATATATTATAACATAAATCGGATACATAATTTGTTGCTTGGATATATTAAAACTAGCTAGGATACATAATATGTATATCGGACACATTATAAAATAAACCTGATGCATAATATATAGTTCGTATACATTAAAAAACAAGAAACTTTAGAGATTTTTAAAAATAGAAGGAGATATTGAAAATAAGGAAAATATAAGACGTGAATTTTTCCAACAAATAATGCAATATATAATTGAAGAAGTGTCAAAATTTTCAATTTAGAGAGTGGAAAGAAGAAGCATATAATAGCAGTCACATGGGTTTTGATCCTTTAATGATGTTAACTTCATTTACACTCAAAACATTACTTTGAAACCTTAATCATAATTCCCAGGTGCTCATCACATCTTCATGCCATGCGTATACCTATTTTTGTTATTGACTTAAGTTGACTTTGAAAAATATATATTTTTTGTCCTATAGGATAACATGAATTGACAAAATTATTTCTATGCTCCTTTCTTTCTAAAGTTCCAAAGATTGTGGTCAATGAGTAAGGAAAACATATTAAATGAGTATGTTTGTAGAAAAAAATAATTCCTTTTCTTGAAAAAATGAGCATTATATCTAGCAGACTAAGACATATCCAAATAACTTGGACACTATATATGTTTACACTCTATATATATAAATATATATATATATATATATATATATATAAAATATTGTGACATTTTAAGAATCAACTCTCTCTTAATTTCATTTTTATTCTCTTGGTTACTCTAAATTGTTCTTCAGCAATTTTGCGGAATTACTATAGAGAGAAGATATGTTTCTGTAAGTAATGTTCCCATTTATATCTTTAATCTCATTCCATGGATTCTTGAGAGCATGTTTTTTTGCATGCACTAGAAGTAGGCAAGTGGAACGGGCGGAGCTAGAGTATTGGTTACGGATTTGGTGAATTGAGTAACGTTGATTTAAATTATATATTTGTATTATGAAATTCATCAATTGATACGTCTTAAATCGATCCATTCGTGTTCCCCAAGACTTGCATAAGCTTAAATATGAGATTAGCATGTGATTTTCTTAGAATCAGCAATTACTATTATCATATTGCAAACATGTTACACATGTGTGTTCTTTATATTGGCTAGTAAAGGTAGATTCAAGATTTAAATTTTATAATTCGAGTATGAAATTTTACCACAACTCACTTGATTTATTGAGTTTCAAATCAATACTCCAATAACACTCTAGGTCTCTCCAACTCCGGCCCTACCGACATAGTAGTCTAGGGGCGATTGGGGAAAATATATATATATATATATATATATATATATATATATATATATATATATATATATATATATATAAATTCTGACTAGGGCTAGATTGCTTCTTAGGGTTTTTTCCCTTTCCTATGAAGAATGGAAAAGTTTTTACGCAAAGTTATTTTAGCAAATGCAAATGCAACGGGGACAAGTCTTAACTCCAAAGGAACGTAATACTAGTATACTTTTTGCTCATGATGGACCTATATATAAGCCACCAATAGCAATTCTGTTAAATAAGAAATGTGTTTTTGTATTTGCTTTAATAAATGTTTTGTCCATAAAATGCATAAGCCAACTGGTATTTTTACTTCGTTTAATAACATCATGCCTACTGACACTACGATAAAGAGACATTTCGTGGCGATGAATTTTCTTTTAAATGGTAATACTTATTGTTACAAATAATAATTAAGTTAATGACATTGCATTTAGAGTCAGTAAATAATATATTTATATATAATTATTGATAAATATAATATAGTGCTAATATTAATAATTATTGTTAAATTCTTCATCTGTTGTACTGTGATTGACCAATTCGTCTGTTGTTTTTTTTTAGATTTTGCACATCCCTTAATCAAGAACAATGATTAATAGTGTAGTTTACCACAATATTCTAATTAATTAATGTATATTTTTAGGTTTTGTGAAATGATTTCAGGTATAACTAATGTTGAGGTAAAATGTTCTTTCTCGATATATTAAAAATGACAAATAAAAGTAAATTTTATTTTTTAAAATATTGAACAAGTAAAAGCGAATAGAAATAATTAAAAAATTAACTCTTTCCTTACTCTAATTTCGGATTGTAATATTATCAGTGCTCCTACCTCCTATCTATTGCCACTTTTTCCAACCAAAAACAAAATTGGAACTCTTCGTTATTTGATTCCTCATGGTGTTTTTTATTTTTTGCTTTAAGCATTTTTATTTTTAAAAATTATTTGACCCAATTAATTTGGATTTACGTTTACTAAGATTAATTGAAAGAATTTTAGGACTATGCTGGTGACAAAGTTGAAGCTAATTAAAGTGAAGCAAATACATCTTTCTTTTTTATTAATTAGCCTCTTGCATGCAGTAGAGTTTAACTTCTATATATTTAGAGTGACAAAATTAGGATTTTTGTTATTAAAATTATTTAGTTTATAATATTTATAACCAGTCATCCACACTGATGGTGGAGTGTCAAGAGTCATAATATTTAATCAAATTGAAAATATGCGAAATTGATAATTACTGTGACAATTTACTGTAATTTTGTTTTTTTTACAACCTTTTTCTATAATTTAATTCCTATAAATTGAAAAAGAGAGCAGATACAGATAATAATCATTATTCAGTAACAATATTTATTTTTTTGAATAACATTTAAACATGTGGAAATAATCGTCTGGTTATACAACTACATAAACAAAGCAAATGGCTATATATGTGACAATAACAAATATATATAGCCCTATGCGTTACACAAATAATGCTGCAAATTACAACTCCATGCAGCATCATCCAGCTGCAATATAATCTCTATGAGTTAATCATGATATATCGTGGATCTTAAGTTAAATACAATTAGAAAATAATGTCGTACAAATTTCTATACATTTATAATAATGTACACATATATATTTATATATATCTTCAGATATATTTTTTTCAATCAAGAAGGGATACTGTACGATCGTACTTAATTCCTTCTATGATAATATTTTTGAGCAGTAATTTATTAATATTATTATTAGTTGGATTTTCACTTTCATTTCCACAAATCAATTTGAGAAGTTGAAGATGCTGTAGAGGTATTTTCGGGGGCCATTTCTTGCTTATTCAAATTCACCTCATCATCGCGCTTAGCCTGAAATGTGTTTGGAGACGAATAGTTATTATTTTCATCTTCTTGGCTAAGTTGAGAAGCTACCAATTTATGGAGCACTCGCCAATCAGTCACTTGATCTGCAACTTGCTGGTTCTCAAATGTAGGATGAACATGTGGATCTTGTGTGACCAATGCTGGTCGAATATTGCCAAATATAGGTATTGAGCTACAACCAGGAGGTGCAGCTACAAGTTTATTTGTTTCTAAAAGAGGAAGTTGATGAAGAAATTGGTGATTTTGAGGTGGGGTTTGGTATTGCAAATTGTCAAATTCTTTTTTGCAATTAGGGTAATTATTGGGATAGTGGTTAATGTAATTCATTTGAGGATGTATTGGCTTAGGTGAATCCATGTCTTGCATGAATGAAAGTTGATCATCGTACCAAATTGGTGAACCATGTTCACTTGTATCCATTCTCATGCCAGCTGCTATTTTCTTCTTGAATACTCTACATATAACCCATCCTTCTTCCTGTATTATTTGTTCACACATATTAATGAGTGAATTTGTATCGTACCAATGAAGCATGATAATATTTTATAAAAATGCATGTCAATATTTGGTCAATAACATACCAGTGATATTTCACGAGTGAGATCTGATGAAGAGGGTAAAATATTTGCAAATCCTGTCACTATTGACTACCCTATAAAGGTAGGAAGGTTGTTTCCAAATTGGACAATATTTGGTCGAGTTAAAAGAATGTACTACTATTTGCAATTAAAGTTGAAAAAAAGAACTATAGTGTGGAACTTTCAAATTATGTATGGACATGAACTTCACTTGAAAAAGAGATAAAAGATTGATCGATGGAAACAACTATTTTACTTGAAATACTCATCAGAAATATATACTAAGATATTATTTATGGCCAAACAGGAAAAAAAATGATGCAATTTCGTATATCATAGATTTAGTTTCCAATTCTCAGGCTTCTTTAGTTGGAAATATTTTCTTCTCAACTAAAGTAATAAACAATATTACTTTTATTTTTAGTCAATACAAAAAAAACAACACATTTTCATATTTATTAATAATTAACTTTGACATATCTACTTTATTTAGCTTAATGAAATAATTTACAGTCATACAACAATCTATGACTTATTTTAGATCACAAATTTCAAAAAAATTTCTTTATTTATTAAATTTATTATCAAATTAAACTACGTCACATAAAAGGAGTAATATATTTGACTTGGTTGCATCAAATAATAATTAATGTTGTGAAACTTGCCTGAGGAGCACCATTTGGATCAGTCTCAAGTCTGTATTCATGCATAATAAAGTCAGATTTTTGTCCATTTGGAGCCCTCCCTTTATAATACACCAATGTCTTCCTCATCCCAATTAAATCATGCTTTGAATATATAGCCTTATCCCTTCCTGTTGCCTTCCAAAATCCTGCTGCTGTTGCTCTATTTGTTCTTGTTCCTGTTGGATATTTTTTGTCTTTGTGGCTAAAAAAATACCAATCACTCTGCTCTTCTGTCCCCATTCTACATAATTCTATACAAAAATAAATGTAGGTATATACCATTTCATTAGTAATCTTAAGATTAATATGCTAAAAGAATATTCCACTTTACCTGCGTAGACTGTCACAATATATAAGTTAAAGCTTTGTCCATCAAACGTTTTTATTAATAATAATAATAAGTACCTTGAAGATCCCATGGCTCGATTTTGTAGAGATCGATGTCTTTAATAACATCGAGGTCAATCCTTCTAGAGGTGATTTTCTTTCTAAGGTAATAATCAACAAGTTCTTCATCTGTTGGGTGAAACCGAAAACCTGGAGGAACGTGTGACAAGGAATTCATCTTCTTTGATCAATCAAATGTACTACTATAACCACCTGCATATTCGTTTAGTCATAGATCAAAATGTTTGATATGATTGCCAACATTATACTAACATAAAACTATGTACTTCTTTGTAATTTTCATGTGATTACAATGAATTAAGAATGATTCGATTTATAGTTGAACTTGAATATTGATCATACGGAGAAAGAATCAAGTGCAAATTAACGATCCAAATGAAGAGGACAACAAGTTAATGTTGATGAAAAAATGAAAGGAAAAAATTAAACCCCTACAAATATATTTGACACAAGGAGTGCGTGGATCTAATATAGTCCTTTTTGATAATTAAAATTGAGTCCACTCTTGCCTTATACGATAAGCATAATCTAATCGATGCTTCTACTTTTATGTAATGAATGATACAATATTATCTCCATTCATGAAATTAAATTTCAAATAGTTGTTTACCACGTTATATAGGCATTTCGTTTCACACGTATAATATTATTCAATTATTTTATTGGTTAATTAAATAAACAGGTTAGGGAAAAGAATAACAAAATTAAATCATTGTTAAAATGGTACTATAAAGAGGGGTTGTGAAATTCCTGAAGGGAAATAGCATGATTGATAGTATTGTTAGAGAAAAAAAACCAAGGAAAAAAATAAGATCTTCAATCGATTTAAATATTTGTTTGGTTCATTAAGTTAATAGGTTATGTAAAAAATAAAATAAAAAATAATACCAAGAATGAGTGACTTCTATTTCAAGACTTACAAAGTAGTAATAATTTGAAGAACAACAAAGAACACTTTTCTCATAGAGCACATATATTAGTAGAACTTATGAGCTCATTAATGGATCGGAGACAATTACTAGTTAACTTATGAGCTCATAAACCAAAAAAAAACTCATAATTAGGACATTTAAACACACACACCCACACAACTAAGACATATAGTGTGAGTTTAACACAAAATATGTATGAATTTAATTCAAACGTCCCCTTCTTTCAAGACCACATACGTTTTAGAATAAAATCGAACAAGAGACTTTCTTTGGTAACAAATTTCACTAGAATATCATCATGATATATATGATGGATTAACGTTTACAATCCAAAATGGACTTAAGCTTTTGGTTATAGGATACATCTGAATTTAGAAGACACGATAACAAACAACATAACAACATATCCAGTGAAATCCTATTAAGGTCTAGAGAGAGTAAAGTGTACTTAGACCTTGCCACGAGTTTGTATCTGATCAGAAGGTATGATATAAAGTATAAATATATACACTAAAACCTACTATATTAGATCTGAATTCATACTTTTGACAATAAAGCATGATTTAAGTAGTAACTAATCTCAATGGGTACTGCATCTATTAATTTAAATTTGGTAAAGGGACCTTACTAGATGAAATTACAAACCTTAATTTCAAAAATGAGCAGATCTGAGTAGAGTGAATATTTGGTATTCAAAGTGACAAATAAATGAAAGAACTTTGAAAGGGTGACCAACAAAAAGACGAAGATAATAAGAGACAGCAAAAGACAAAGCTTTAATTTTATCCTCGGGAATTGGAATTTCCAGTGAGTTTGGCTATATGTCTTTTTGGACCAAATCCCGAGGGACAGTGTAATTAAACTGAAGATGGAAAGAAAAAAAGATAAAAAGGGACAGAGAGAATGGAAGAAGGATGAAGAAAGAGGGTTATATAAAGCCACGCCCCCACCAAACAAATAAACCCTAATGATGAAGGATCTGTTTATTAGACTTAATAAGCCTACAACTCTACTTTTAATTACTCGTTTCGATAAAAAAAGAATGATCTACTTCAATTTAAAATAAAGTTTAAGAAAAAGAAATATTTTATGATTCTAAATTAAAGTTATCAAATCTCATTTCCTTAGACATATCACATGAAAAGTTGAAGTTAAGTATTGCCAAAAAAGAAAACAAATCATTCTTTTTTAAAACAGACTAATTATAAGAAAATTAGATCATTATTTTTGAAATAGAGAGAGTAAAATTTATATTATGTATATAGTATATATTCCATCTATCATATATATGCTTTCATTGTCTCTTTCTTTTTTTTAAAAAAAAGATTAATTAATTTTATGAGCATCATAACCATAATAGTATGAGCAGAATTGCTGGAAAAGCTTTAGGGGGCGCGATAAAAGGTGGCGCAAAATTGGTTGAAATAGAAATAAAGACAAAGACAGAAGCATTGTGTAGGCAACTGCCACCTCCACTCACCCGCCACTGATTGAGACCTCTAAGTTAATTCTGTAGCTACTTTTAAGTTTGTTTTTGTTTTTAGTTACCTATAAACATCACTAAATTATGAAGAGAAAATGTTTTAATTTCTTTATGTAAATCTTATTACAAAAGAAAAATTAATATGATAAAGAAATGAGGGTAAACGGTAAAGGCACGGACCAATCACATCTTATCAATTACATTAATTAAGTAGCCAAGTGGGCATATATTGTCACCCATCTTGGGCGTTTCATAGAACTAAGCCCCACATTTAAAAATTGAGGCATTTTATTAGTGCCCAGGTATTGATTTCTACTAAAATGATACTCCCTCTATTTTATATTTAATGAATTTGTGAGGTAATACAGGTTAAAACAAACATTGAACCACATCATTTCAATCATAATGTCTATTATTGTTTTTTTCATATAATTTTTGAAAGTAGTGTAATTTATCTCCTAAAAAATACTTTATTTGTTCTTAATTATTTGTCTATTTTTTCATTCTTAGTTGTCACTAATTATTTGTCCATTTGACAAATCAAGAAAGGACAAAATAGTTTTACCTAGTATACTCTTTTCAATTAATTACGTTGAAAAAGATAGATCTTCTTGAAAATTTTATGTTTTTAATTTATCCACTTCATAGTTAAAAGAAATAAAATAGTAAGCTTATTATGTCAATAATTGTTTTATAAACAGGTGTGCCAATTCAAAAGTAGACAAGTAATTAGGCACACAAAAAGTATAAAACTTCAATAAATGAAAGGACAAATATGAAAAAATGCAAATATCCATCTTGTATTTTGAATAATAGAATTATTTTGAATAATAAAAAAAAAGTCTTGAATATATATAGAAAAAAAGGGAGTATATATAGCAGCTAAAGTAATTGAGTTTAAAGTCTGTTGGTTCATTGGAAGAATATTTATAAATAATTGTTTTAAAAAATAATTAGCTAGGAGCTATAACAAGATAAGATGATACGATATAACGGAGTAAAACTTTTTTACACGAAGAGTGTATGCGACTTAATTAATTCTTTACACATTCATTTCGCTTAAGGTAAATTTCTATGATACACACTAATTAGTGGATTAAATTATATATAAATATATATTGACAATATAATTTTTGTTTGCAGTAACATAGTTTAACTCATCAAATCAAGTTACAAATTAGTAATATTATATTTATCTTAAAATTTATATGTAATTGCATTATGAATTACTAATATTTTTCAAGTTGTCGATGCACAGAACTTGGAATTTTAATCAGTAACCTGATAAAAATAATAACTAACTCACTGTAGTTGGTTAAACTACACTATGAATAAAAAAAAGTTCTACATTTCTATTTTATATAACTGAAATCCAAAATGAATATACTATAAAATCTTTTTAGTATTATTTTATGCTGGTGACACAACGCAACATTGTCCACAAAGGAATTTAAGGATTTTGGTCCTTTGAGAATTGTTCAACAATTAATATTCTTTAATTTGTCCTAGTCCCTACCTTTTCTTTCCCATATCTCAAATTTCATTTTAGCTACTTAGGACCAACAAGTTAGAGATTCACTGAAATTATTTTTAAAAATCGTTTATACGAAAAATGATAAAAAAAAAATTATATCTCAAAAAACCTATAATAAATTTCATAAGAAAATACATCAAATAATTTATTTTTAAAAAATTTAAAACCTCAATTTAATTTTTACTAACGTGTTAAAGCCGCCCAACTTAGTAGGAGTACATTTGCAAGCTAGCTACTTGAGAAAATTAAAGGAGAGGTAATGAACTCATGCTACTTCGAGTCATGCCAATGTTAGGCTGATCAGACTATAATGATGATAATCTTTGCAAGAAAGAAGTAAAAAGAGGAAGAAAGAAATCATTAAGAACAAAAACTTCACTAAATAATACTTTCATCTGTTTTAATTTACGTGATATTTTTTATTTTTTGAGAATCAAACAATCTTCATTTGATTGACAATTCGTACATGATCAATTTTTTTTAAAAAAGTAAAATTTATATATTTGTAAATTATTTAAAAAGTACTATAAGTCACAATAATTGACAAATCAAATATTCAAAAGATATAAATTTATTGTAAAAAATAAACTTATTTAAATCTCAAAATCTATAATGTGTCACCTGAGACCGAGAAAATAGTAAATATATATGGTTGTGTCCCAACATGATTGAAGAGGAGCAACCAGCTTACCCGTGAGCAATACGTTTCCAAGCACCACCACCGACTCTCATCATTATAATTATACAGCGTTTATATGCTGCTTATTAATAATTGCATACTTATTAGATGTGTTATATATATATATATATATATATATATATATATATATGATTTAATCAAATTCAGTAACTTCGATATATAATTAAGTTTTAAATTCAATTATTAACATTTGAATTGTCATCATAAAATTCAAAATTTATAAAATTAAAATTTTGATGTCGTCTGCGGCGCAGTGATGCAACCTTGTCAAATGGTAGACTATTTTTCAGTCACTTAGCCCCTCATAGCTGAGCCATACTGATGGTAGTTCATTCTTATTATAAGAACTTAAAAGTGGAAAGTCAACCTAACTACACTAACTTTTAATTATTGATATAATCATTCTACATAACTAATGTAATTAATATAGAAAATAATCTAGATTTACCTTATAGAAAGAAAAATAATATGCACGTATTGTTTAATTTTAAAGCGTAGTTTTTGAAAGTTATTTGTTTTTAAAAATTTCTTGTGCAAAAATACGAGTAGACTTTTC